GCCTCAAACCTTCAAAGCAGCATTTTAAGAAAGGTTGCTTCCCTCCCTCCCTTTTCTCCTTTTTCCTTCCCTGTTCATTCTCCTTTCTTCTTCCTCCCCCTCTTTCCTTCTTTCTCCTTCCTTGCTCTCTTCCCATCTTCCCATCATTTTCTTTGTCTTTCCTCTTTCCCTTTCTCCTTTCTTGTTCAAATGCAAAAGGGGAAACATTTCTTCTTGTTTTGTTTTTAGTTTGTTTTGATAGCCCTCTGCCAGCCAAAATGGAGCCAGGGGGTTGAACTCTGTTTTCGCTGATAGAGGCACCGCGGAACGGTCCTTTGCTGTTTCTAGACCGGTCCTGTGGGCCAGATCTAAGTACCCCATGGGCCAGGTTTAGCCCCACGCCTTGACTTTGACACTCCTTTGACACCCCTGATTTAAGTCTACCAATTCTTTTCCTCACCTTCCAGCGGGATTTCTCCACCTTGGAGAACTTTGGAACATAGAATAGAGAAAATCCTCAACTTAATTGAGCCCAAATTTATGATGCTAAGTGAGAAATCTGTTATGTGAGTTTTGCCCCAAATTGTTTATCTTACTTTTTTGGGGTACATTACCTCACGTACTTTGGGTTTCATTCCTTTTCTCATCTCTCAGCTCCTTGAAGGCAGCTTTAAGCTCCAAGGTTGCTGGCTCTGGTGCTCATGGACAGCTCCCCTTCCATCTTGGTCCTGCCAAGACAGCCAAGAACTCTGCTCAGCTCAAAGTTGGCCTAAAATCTGCAGGTTAAATTGGGGCGATGCAAGTCATTATAAGAAGGGAATGGAGCTCAGGCCAGCACTTATTAGAATTGGTCCAAATTTCTCTTGTTCTAAAAATAGGACCGGCTATGCTGCACATTCCTCTTTATTTGTGGCTTGCCCATCTTCGTGTCCCACGGAACTAGACTTAGCCTAAAGTATTAACTCAAAAACTCAACTGTGACACAAGAAATTCCTCTGAAGGGTGGGGGGAATTGAAGAGGCCCAGCTTTGCCTGCCCTCCTGTCCACCCCAGGAAGAAAACTCAGGTGATTGGAAGACAGTTTATTGATACAAAGCATTTTTTGAAAAAAAAAAACCTCAGATTTGAGAGTTTGCCAATATGCTGTTCTGACCGAGGCTTCCCGAGAGCCTGAAGCAAACTCATTGTCCTAACAAAAAAACCTTTTATTAATTGACTGTGAATTCTGCTCATTCACATCCAGCGAAGTCTTTTGAGGGAGGATTTACAGTCACAGACCTTATCTGGCTTGGAGAGCTGCCAGATCAATATCTACAAAACTTGGCAAGGAGTCTCAGAGAGTCACAAACCAATTAAGTAAACTCATTGTCTCCTGCAAATGCCACTCCCCTTTTGCTCCTCTTTTATTTCCTCTGGGAGGGGCCATTCATCATCTGGCTTTACACCCAAGACAACCCCTGTTCTTCAGCTGTTCCCTTCATCTGGCAACTCTGCATATGCTCACACTGGGAACAGGCCCCAGCTGTTCCTCTGCCTCACTGATGTCTGACTCTGAAGGAGCTGATAACTGTTGGGTGGCCCTGGCCCCCTCTCTGCTGCTGATGCAGAGCCCTCATCAGAGCCTTCCCCAGACTCCAGGACTGGCCCATGTTCCTCCCCAACCTCCTCACTGTCTGAATCTGCTGACAACTCCACTGACCACTTGGGGGCCACAACATATGTGTCCTTTAGATATTCCAGCATTTCTCTTGATTTGGAAACAATTGGGAGGTAGGGGAAAAACACCTTTTTGAACTTTCAGTTCAAGGAAAACAATTTCAATTGGCTAAATCAGTTTACCAGTTTAAAGTTGTACATTCTGTTGTTGAAATCAATTACACACACATACAGCGTAGAGCTTGGTAATCAGGCTAGAAAATTGAATCTTTGAAACAAGTCAAGTGGCATTTGAATATGATCTTAAAGATGAAAAAGCAGTCTAATGAATGTATATAGATTAATCTGGGAAAGGCCTGCTTTATGGGAGCAACCACTGTAATATTTGCAAAAAAATGGGATTTCAGCCGAAAGCCATTTTTGGAACATTTTCAGCACCGCTCTGCTGCTTTGGCCCTTCTGGTTCTTCCCACTCGCAATGAAAATAATTCTCTCACCGAGCAGCCCCCTCCTCCCCGGGAAGACTTCAGACAGACTTCCAAATGCACTTGCTGGTGAATAAATGATGAAAAGACATCCTCTTACACAGGGAGTCTTTCAGGCAAGGGATCAAAAAGGAAATTAAAGCCTCTTTGGTGTAATTTCCAGGATAATTATTTAGTTCATTTTATCTCTCTCCCCATCCCCCATTTTTTTTGTGTGCATCCCTTCTCTTGGCGCAAAAGATTTGGCAAAGGGTTTGGCTTTGGGGGAGGGAAAAGAAAGAAGAAAAATTCCAGGCAGTAATTCCTTGGGCGGGTGTAGTGAAGGCCCTGTTTTTGTGGCAGATGCTGTGTCTTTTTGAGGGATGGGATTCGCATAACAGGCTAAACCCTTAAAATTAGCTCTTATTGCTCAGATAACTTGTGCCTTAGTTGGGCTTAAGCCAGTCAGTTCTCTTTAGAATAGAGTAGGGTAGGGTAGGGTAGAGTAGAATGAATAAGAATGGAATAGAGTAGCCTGAAGTGGGTTTTTTTGTCTGAAGTGGTATAGGATTTCCTGCCTAAGCAGGGGGTTGAAGACCTCCAAGGTCCCTTCCAACTTTGTTTATTCTATTCTATTCTATTCTATTCTATNCCTAGAGTCGGGAACAACTAGCGCGCATGTGCAAGGGAAACCTTTACCTTTTACCCCACTTGGAGGGGCCGAGCTTGCCAACTTGCTGTATCACTCCTCAGGCCAGAAAAGCCAGAAAGCAGGGCAGCCAAGCTGAGACCTCTTCCCTGCCCTCCACCCCTCCTGGGGCTGGGCAGAGACCCATCTTTGGTGCTCTGACACTCCAGAGGAACAAGTGGGAAAAAGGCTTTTAACCTCCTCCTGCAGAATCTCATTTTCTAAATTGGAGGAGGCCACTCGCCACACGGATGCAGCACAACTGTTACAGTTGTGTAATTTGGAGGCTGCTATGCTCTCTGTTGTGCCTGCCTGGCATTTCTGCCTTAAAAGAGGTGCAGGGGGAACGCTTCAAATGTTTATTGCAATATAACCCTCAAAGAGATCCAGCTGAAACTTGGCAGGCTTAATGCCCTCTGGAGAGTCTACTATCTCTGCAGTTTTCATCCAGTTCTGCCAAAATGTCATTGCAGGCATTTTGATGCCTTCCCCATGATAGCAATGGACACAATTTGTTTTTTTTTTCCCCCCGAATCAAATCTTGCATCTCAAATAAGCTGGAATCGAATCGCTTTGCCCTTGAAACTCCGATCGAATGATATCCTCTTGGAATCTTGAATCTGCAAGTCAAATCAAATCAGGACAGATCCCCAAATCCCTCTGTGTGGTGCCTGCACAGCCACAAGCAAGCAAGGGCTTCGGCTGTTTTTCCTACCCCAGGCTACTGGAGAGGCAAATAATTCTTTAAGCAGGAAAGTGGACAAAGGCTCTTGGGAGCTGCAAGCCTGCCCAGCCTTTTTCTAACTACCATACTTGCTTATTTATTAGATTTTTATCCCACCTTTATTACAAGTAAATCAAGGCAGCAACTATACCTAATCCTCCTTAATCCTCCTATTTCCCCACAGCAACCCTGTAGGGTGGGTTGGGATAAGAGCGGGGGGACTGGCCCAGCTGCCTTTTGTGCCTAAGGCAGAGCTAGAACTCACTGTCTCCTGGTGATTGGACCTAAGTCACCCACCCAACTTTCATGCCTAAAGTGGGACTAGAATTCACCATTTCCTGGTGATTGGTCCAAAGTCATCCAACTGACTTTCATGCCTAAGGTGGAACTAGAACTCACCATCCCCTGGTGATTGGCCCCAAGTCACCCAACCAATTTTCATACCCAAGGCAGGACTAGATTTCACCATTTCCTAGTGATTGGCCCCAAGTCACCCAACCGCCTTTCATGCCTAAGATCCCAGTCACCTGGTTTCTAGCCTGGAGCTTTAGGCACCAGTTGTTTGTGTACCAAACTCCGACCTTTTGCAAATGTGCTCAGCATTTTGGAAAGGAGCAAGACCAATGGCATAATCTGAGCCATTTTCTCACTCTCTCAGCTGGAGCTGCAGCTGGCCAGCTTGATTCCAGCGGAGCTTAAAAGTTCCAGAGTTCTAAAATATTTATCAGCGTGAAGCTGTAGTTAGCACTTAAGCTGAAGGCAATACAGTCAGAGCCTCTGCATTGAAATGGAAGTTAGTGAGATTGAAAAGTCATTATGCTGTAAATATGAAGTATATATTAAATGCCAGGCAGAAACCTTGAATGTCCAGCTGTTGGTTTGCTTGCTTCCTGCAAAGCAAAGTATCTGCGTGCAGAGGAGAGCCCATTTTAGTTGCTCTGCCATATGATGTGTGTGTACATGCGTGTGTGTGTGTGTGTGTGTGTGTGTGTGTGTGTGTGTGTTCTGACGGAGGCTTCCCAAGAGCCTGAAGCAGATTCAACGTCCTGACAAAAAACCCTTTTACTAATTGACTGAGAATTCTGCTCATTCACATCCAGCAAAGATCTTCAAGNCTGTGGGGGCAATACGCTGACTCTGTAAACCGCTTAGAGAGGGCTGAAAGCCCTATGAAGCGGTATATAAGTCTAACTGCTATTGCTATTGCTATTTTTTTCGGGGGCGGGAGGAGGCGCATCATATACTCTGAAAAATACCGTGATTTTTTTTCTTCTTCTTTTGCATCTCTCCTGTCAGCAAATCCCAAAGTGGTCTGGGGGAATTCTGGGAGTTGAAGTCCACCCATCTGAAAGTAGCAAGCTGAAGAACCACTGTTCTTAATGTTCTGGGGTCTCCGTGCAGGGATCAAACTCGGCCAGAGCTGCAACGAACCTAAGATCCACCCAGCGTTGGGCTAAAACCCTTTTGCATACCTTTTTTTTTCTTGCAGCAAAGTTCGCGATCCACGGGCAAATTTTGAGCAATCCATTCGCGTGTTGAAGCACGCCAAGGAAGTTCAGCCCGACGTGATTTCCAAAACGTCGATCATGCTTGGCCTGGGGGAGACGGACGAACAGTTGCATGCCACCCTGGAAAGTAAGTAGAGAGGAGAAGGGATAAGTAGCGTAGGGGTTCAAAAAATAAATAAGTGAAGTTGGCCACTCCAAATGGGGACTCCATGCTCCGCCCCTATTTATCTGCGTCGTAGACAGCTAATCCCCGAGTGGTGCAGTGATTGTGAGCTCTCACCTCACAATCAGCAGGTTGTGCGTTCAATCCTAGGTAGAGGCAGATATTTCTCTCTCTGGGCACAATGAGAATATATCTGCTGAAGAAAACTCCGCAATGGCAACAGGAAAGTCATCCGGCCAGTAAACACTCTGCTAGCTCCTATTCAGTTGCCCAGACTTCACCCCGCAAGGGATTAGGGTAGGGGTGGGTTACGGCTTCTTCTACTACTGGTTTGCTCAAGGACGCGCTTCGGGCGCCCGCATGCGCAGAAGCAAAAACAACATGGCGGCACCAATAGAACTGGTTCGGGCATGTGTCCAGCCGAGTTACTACTTACTCGGCTGAACCAGGCTGAACCGGTAGGAACCCACCTCTGGATTAGGGTTCGTTAAAAGAGGATGATGTAGACAGCTAATCCTCAATTTAATGACCTACAATTGAGCTCAAAAATTCTGTTACTAAATGAGACATCTCTTAGGTTTTGCCTCATTTTACAACTTTCCTTGCCACAGCAGTTAAGTGATTCACTGCCATTTGTTAAGTTGGTAACACGGGTCGTTAAGTGAATTCAGCTTCCCCTGACTTAGCTTGTCAGGCCGCCAAATGCGACCTCAGGACGCTGCAACCGTCAGAAGTACGAGCCAGGTGCCAAGCATCTGAATGGTTTGATCATGTGACCACAGGGAGTCTGCAATGGTCGTTAAGTGTGAAAAACGGTCATAAGTTGCTTTTTTCAGTGCCGTGGTAACTTTGAACGGTCGCTAAATGAAATGTTGTAAGTTGAGGACTGCCTGCAGAGGATTCACATGACAGAAAGGCTTAGGGTTTTTTTTAACATCTCGCTTTGTTTTCATTTTTCTATCTCTCTGAACAGAAAAGAACAGAATAAGAGAGTTGGAAGGGACCTTGGAGGTCTTCTAGTCCAACCCCCTGCCTAGGCAGGAAACCCTACACCACTTCTTTGCATTTTTCTTTTTCCTTACTTTTTATATTTTCCTTAGTTTGTATGAAGCCTTCTTATATCTTGGTATAGGGAGTCCTTGACTTACAACAGTGTCAACACAGAAGCCATTGGCATGTTTAAGTTCCCATGGTGAGAGAAGCGGGAGTGGGGAGCGCATTCTACATATACCTTCGACTAGAGTGGGGTCTCAGATTACTGTGCACCTTGTTGGTGGATGTGATTTATGACACAGATTAAGAGGAGGGGAGGAAGAGGGTAAAGTTCAGCCATAATGCAAATGAGGTCAGAACTGACTGCAATGAGGGATTGCCGAAATGGTGTTCCTAACAAATGGCTGGTTTTCTTTTGAAACTTGGCTCCAGGTTCATGAATTAATGAGGGCATCTTTCGGAAACCTGACAAACAAGTTTATTTAGTGGCCACTCAAAGTTACAATGGCATTGAAAAAGTGACTTATGACCGTTTTTCACACTTACGACTGTTGTAGCATCCATGTGGTCACATGATGAAAATTCAGGTGCCTGGGAACTGACTCATATTTATGACGGTTTCAACACCCTGGGGTCATGTTTTGAGACCTTCTGACAAGCAGAGTCAATGGAGAAGCCAGATTCACTTAACAACCATGTTACTCACTTAACAACTCCGGCAAGAATGATTGTAAAATGGGGGTGGGGAGGGGAAATTCACTTTGCAAAGGTCTCGGCAATATAAATTTTGGGCTCGTTTATGAATGTACATCGATAACTACCCACACTTGCAAATTTGGATAAAATTACTGTTAAAAAAGATAGGAGAAAAATGCCAAATCCTGGTTCTGTCGTTTACTAAGAGTATCTTTTTTTTTTTTTTAACAAAAAATAGGATTACGTGAAGCCGATGTGGATTGTTTGACCTTGGGACAGTATATGCAGCCAACAAAACGGCATCTGAAGGTATTTTATTTTAGAACTAACTAGCTGATAATCTGGCGTTGCCCGGGTATTTATTTATAGGGGGGAAATGTCTGGATCAAACGTAATTTCTAACGTTGGATTTCCCTCCCTTACCAGAGGGAGCCATTAGAAGTACAGTAGAAGCCATTTATGGCAGTATAGTAGAAGCCATTTTAAGGCACAACAGGCTGTATCTTAACAGAACACCACCACCACCTGAGGGGTTTTAGGGGTGCCTTACCCCCACAGAATTTTTTTTCAGAGAGTGTACCAAGTTTGGTTGAAATTGCTCGAGGCATTCCAGAGTTATAATGGAACACACACACACACACACACACACACAAACAGCCATTTTTATAGAGAGAGAGATTGGAAGTCTCAAGGCTGTTCATTGCTTCCGATACCCTAAAACCTGTTGGATAATATCTGGACTAATATTAAATTGCATTTTACTGCTGGCAATAAGCATTTTGAATGGAGACCCAGATGTTCGGTTTGTAATATCCCATCCCAAGCCCAAAACAGGGGATTGGAGAACTTTGGAAAGTATTCCATGATCAAAATACACTCGGAGTGTCCCAAAAAGACCTTTTTGAAGGTTTGAAAAATGCTCAAAACCTCCCTTTTTTTTCAACCTTTGAAGTCCTTTTTTTTTACATTTAAGGGAGGACTTGACAAGATGGTTCGATTTTCAGAATAGTTCACATTTAAACATTCTGCATACCATGACAGTAGCAGCAAGCCGTGCAGTTCCTTACAAAAAATAAAATAAAAAATGGGGCCAAAATTAAAAAGTGTTTCTAAACCTAGCCATTTGCCCAGTTGTGAGATTTAATAGAGGTTTCCAAAAGGATCATTTTTGTTCTTCCCCTTTTGCACAAGGAAAAGGAAGGATTCTGCCCTTAAAATAGCTCTAAATTAAGTACAGATAGTCCTTGGCTTACGACCACAATTGAACCCGATTTCTGTTGCTAAGTGAGTTTTTCCATTTTACGACCTTGACACAGTTGTTAAGTGAATCCCTTCAGTTGTTCAAACTAGTAACCCTTTGCTAAGTGAATCTGTGTCATCTCAGCCAGTTGTCAAGCGCCAGAACTTCGATCGCGTGACCAGGGGGAATGCGGCAACGGTTGTTAAGTGTGAAAAACGGTCATAAGTCCCTTTTTTTTCAGGGTCACAACTCCAAACATTCATTAAATGAACTGTTATAAGTCGAGGACTCCTGATATAAACGGGCTTTTGCGAAAGCAATTAGAAAACTATCCAACTTTCAGATGACTCAGAACTCAACTGCCTTTATATCATTATTATTTTTTTCCTAGGTGGAAGAATATGTTGCTCCGGAGAAATTTAAACACTGGGAGAAAGTTGGAAACAGCCTCGGATTTCATTACACAGCCAGTGGGCCTCTTGTGCGTTCTTCTTACAAAGCAGGTACAACGAGTTGTCCGATTAGCAGGACCACAAGCGAGTCACTCAGCCCAGCCACAGTATCCAGAGCTCAACAGGTTGCTCAAGGGTTACTAATTAAATTATTACTGGTAAATTGCATTTGCACTTCAATTGGGCAATTTGCCATAGCCTCCTTCTCAGGGTTTAAGAGAGACTGACTGGCTGAAGCTTAGCTGGCTTCCGTGTCTGAGGCAGGACTAGAACACAGATCGTCTACTACTACAGCAACGTAGCCCAAATGTACAGGATTTATATTCTACTAGCCGATAACACGGCGTTGACCGGGTTTTTATTTATAGGGGGGAAATGTCTGGACCAAACGTAATTTTTAATGCTGGATTTTCCTCCTTACCCTTGTGGAGTACCGTGAAGCCATTACCATGGCAACTGCGCTGCACAGTAGAAGCCATTTTACAGTACAGTGGAAGCCATTTTAAGGCACAACAGGTTATATCTTAACAGAACACACACTCCAAGGGGTGTTAGGGGTATCTTACCCCCACATTATTTGTTTCCAGAGAGTAAGTTATCTGCGTACCAAGTTTGGTTGAAATTGCTCAAATGCATTCCAGAGTTATGCTGGTACATACACACACACACAGCCATTTTTATATATGTATAAATTTCCACCAACTGGTTGAACGGGCCCGACATTTCAATTATGAATCCATGTTAATTAGATCCTCATGGAGACTTTAGAAGTCCAGTGTGCAGCAGATCACAGCCAGGATTAATTTAGATGTAAATTGCTCTGTAATTTGCATTATTTGTTGTAACTTGGAAGGTCTCATTACAAATGCTCTTTAAAATCAGAATACGCTCTCCTTGAACGACAGCACTATTTGAGAAGCTTAAAAAATGTTATTTCAGAGCTGTTGACATGTTTGAAGCGTCCCGTTAGGTACGATAACTAATTTCTGAGCCACTGGGAAGATTTTGGATAGTATTTAGCTTTAAAAACCAAAGGATGATAACTTTTCGAAATCTCTCTTGCTTTTTTGACTACGCTGAAACTTATAGGAGCACCAAATAGCACAGAAGCTATTAGCCCTTAGGTGCTCTTGAAATTTTGATTTTTTTCCCCCCCACAAAAAGGTCCATTTCATATTTAGATTCTTTGCCGCAATTGATGGCTCCCTTGTATTTTCCTGCAATAATGACAAAAAAATGGACAGCGGAAGATTTTTACCGCTTGGTTAAAACATCTTTTGTTTTGGATACTGCACAGGTGAATTTTTCTTGAAAAACTTAATCCACAAGAGAAAGAAGAAGGACATCTGATGCCTCTTAAGACCGAGAAGAAGAATCCCACTCTTGTGTTCTAGATGGCAGCATCACGGATAAATCCAATAAAAACAACTCGGAAAGCTTTCGTTGCTTTATAAAAAAAAAAAAGAATACAAAATATTTTATTTTGTTCCTGGACCCTGACATGCTCTGATATTGTACAAAACAAAGATATCACTCATTATCCAATAACTAGCATCCAGATACATCAAGAAAAACAGAGGTAGAATGAGACACATACATTAAGGAATCAAAAGATGCATTTTCCCCCCTCTCTCATCTATAATCATGGTTTGTTCCATTATTAGCCCACATCGCATCGCTAAACGTCTTTTCAATGACGCTCCTGGGACACGAGTGATTCTCAGTCATCATCCTTGTTTGCATAAAGCACAATGAAATCACTTTTCTCGTTGGCCTTAAAATAGGATTAGAAGCATCTCTGTACCGTAAATGATATTCTTAATTAAAACTGTTGGATTGGAAATGATATTCGCGATTAAACTGTTGGATTGGAGCTCGGCTACAATATTATCTTTTCCCTGACCGCTTTATAAAAAAGGTACGAATGAGGGTCTTAAGTCAAAAATGGATCGACGTGCTAATTTTTGAGGCTGTTAGACAAAGAGGTACCTCGAAGATTTATTTGCAGCTGATCCAAGGAAAAAAAGTGGACTTCTGTTGTGTTCAGTACAAGTAAGTGTGTTTGAGAATTAAGCAACAATCCCACTGCAGTGATGGGTATTCCAGTTTTATATTTATTCCCGTGGGTACCGAAAAATGGAAGCATCCTTTGGTTGTTATTTTGTGTGTCGTAGTTTACTGGGATAAACTGCCAAAAAAATTAAAATCTGATGTCTGTCTTGTAATAAGGATGTGAAAAGATATTGGTAATGCCCAAGATTCTGCAAAACAAAGACATTTCCCCAGATATTTTAAGGATGTTGTGTGTCCCAGTTCACGCAGCATGCTTAAAAGCATACTTCGCTTGGTCTTGGCTTACGGTACGACCCCGACCAACTTGGATTTATCCGGTAAACCGTGGTTACAATAAGTCAGCTTAATGTAGCGTACTAAAGTCAGATCAATTCCATATATGGATAGAACTTTTAAGTCCCAAGTCTGCTTTTAACCACAATAAGAATCGTGCTTTGCTTAGCTTCTAAGGTGAGAAAGTGATGGTCAGCATATCAGCAATTGAAGAGAAAGCAGAATTAATAATTCCTTATTTTGGGTCTTCTCTGGAGTAAGCATTAGTTTTATGCAAAGTACTTCAACCGTCATTTCATTAATGCCTTGATTTCATTCATGGAAAAAAGTATCCCTTTGCTGAAGATTTCCATACCAGACAAGTCTTAATTTAAACTTCCAACGTGAATAATGTTACATGGTGTTAATAGGTTGCTATCTATTTAATAGGATAGGAAATTTCTTTCTTGCTTCTATTTTCAATCTGTCAAAGCTAAAGTTTTAAGTCTGTGAAATCTTGCAAAAATATCCCTAAAATCTTGGAAGTTCAAATCCGATGCGTTGTCCCATTAAAAAAATATTTTAAAAAACGTGATGGTTGTATAGTTAACACGTCATTGGTAGAAGTTACAATACTAGAAAAATAGACCTTATAATAAAAGAGAATCTGGTTGAAAATGTCCCACGTAACGACGGCGCTGTACCTCAATAGTTCGTATGAAATCTTTTTCACTATGCAAAAAAAATACTAAAACTTCATTTAGCCAGAGCGGAGTGTTAAGTGGGGTTTCCGCGGGAGATATTTAAATCTCCCATTGAAATCAAATAATTTGTAATGCTTTATTGAGGCTCAAAGGGTCCCTTCTTGTTTTCTTCTATTTTCCTCCTCCTTCCAACTTTTCTGTACCAAAAAAAAGCCTACATCCTTGGTTTCTTTAAAGGCGGGTCCTGCAGACTGAATTTTGGAATGTCACCGGACGACGCAAAGGGAATTCTTTTGGCTGAGATTTTCTTCCCGATTGTCTCAATCTGAAGAAAAAGGAAAAAAAAATGCACAAAATCAGCTGACAGAGAATGAAATCAGTATTTGAGGGACTTGTTAAAATATTCATGACTGGGAGAGACATGGGAACAAGGTCAGCCAATGAATAGGCATAGCAGCTAAGTCAGCCAATGGGAGCTTAAACAGATCTGAGTCTGTGCAAAGAACTGAAACAGAAACTTAAGCAGTCTCCTGCTCTGTGAAGTAAACTTAAGCATTCTGTCTGGGCTTGTCTGCTGATATGAAACTGCTTGTGTTTGCCTGTAACTCTCCTGCCTTGTGTTTACTTCGAAGAACCACCTGTTGGTATTGTACATTTATTCATCTATTATTCATCTCCATGCATTTTATTCTCAATTGATTGTGAGAACCCAACTTTGTGAGCTTACTGTAGGGTTTTTAAATACTGTCTGACTCCAAGAAACCACGGGTCACTTGAAGCTAGATAGCAATAACACTTAGACTTATATACCGCTTCGTAGTGCTTTACAGCCCTCTCTAAGTGGTTTACAAAGTCAGCATATTGCCCCAACAATGCTGGAGGGGAATGATGAGGAAGAGGAGGAACAGCTGGGTCCAGGGTCTGACACACGGATGCAGAGAAGGCAGAGGAGAGGAGAGCTGTGGAAATCTATGGGCTGGTCCTTGGGACAGAAGAGCCACCACTGCTAGCGAAGCTCCACCCTAGCTCTGGGGATAAAAGGCAGGGGGCGGAGATGAATAAATGTGGCAGAGGAGAGGAGAGCAGTGGAAATCTATGGGCCGGTCCTTGGGACGGAAGAGCTACCACTGCTAGCGAAGGCCCACCCTAGCTCTGGGGATCAAAGGCACAGGGTGGAGATGAATAGATGTGGCATACAACTATTCATCTTCCTGCCGGACGGACTTGTTAGCCTGCGGTGAGAGAGAAACTTTTTCCCGGGAATGCTGGCGCTCCTAATGAAGGAACCTTTGAGTTCAATTCAGGGGGCTTGGGGTGTTTGGGGGAGCCAGGTCAGAGCACATGGTTAGCGAGCAGAATAGCGGAAGGAGATCATACCTGGAACCCGATCGCTTGCAGCCGATGATGGAGATCATCCAGGACTCTCCTGCCATCAAAGATGAAAGCAGGCTTCAGCATTTTCTTGTGAATGCGCTCGTAATCCAGCTCCTACAAAGGACGCCCAAGATAAGTTTCAAACGATTCGCACCGGATTCCCTTATGTAGAGCGTTTCCACCGTGTTTACCTTAAACATGTCCCACTCTGTGCAAATGACGAGAGCGTGGGCCTCCTCGCAGGCTTCGTACGGGTCCTTACTAATGGTGACCAGTCGCGAGACTAAAATGGGGAGAACGAGGGAAGTTGGGAGTCAAACCCTGAGCATCCATTGGCCAAGAGAAACCCATTTAAACGGACCCAGCAAAACCCCTTTTATTTACATGACTGCGAATTCCTTTCATTCACAGTCAGCAAGGCTTAGCAAACAGTCTTTCCAAGGAATGTTTATCAACACGAACCTTATCTCGTTTGGCGAGCTACCAAATAACAAGTTTCCAAACACAGGTGAAGACAAAACTTGGCACAGAGCCTCTTAGTCACAAACAGAACTTTCCACTTTTGAAACGATCAAATGAATGAATGGTTTCCTGCAAAAGCCCCCTCCCCATTCGCTCTTTTGTTTCCTATTGGAGGAGCCAATCCCCTCCAAGGTGTGGCTTTACTCCCAAGTCGACCCTGAATTCCTAGTTGTTCTTGTCTTCTGGCAGCTCTGCGCAGGCGCACACTGGGAACAGGCTCCAGCTGTTCTTCTGCCTCACTGCTGTCTAATTCCCTCTCTGCCTCCGACGCAGAGCCCTCTCCTGAACTTTCCTCAATCCCCAGGACTGGCCTAGGTTCCTCCCCAACCTACTTGCAGAAGTAGCCTGGCCCTCTAACCACTGTGCCAATGTGGCTTAATATCCTGATTTTTTTTTTCCATAAAAAACTTTTTATTTTCCATTTTCATAACATATAATCACATGTATACTATTACATAGCCAATATCATATTGTGTTATTAAATAATTACATCAATTCATCTTGCCATCAACTACCGAAAAAATAAAAATAAAAAATCTATATCAACCTGGCTTCTGCAATACAGATATTCCTGACCACCACAATTGAGCTAAGCAAGACGGTGGTTAAGTGAGTTTTGCCCCTTTTTACGACTTGTTTGTTAAGTGAATCACTGCCGTTGTTAGTCAAACGGTTGTGAAGCAAATCTGGCTTCCCCCATCGACTTCGCTTGTTGGTAGGTCGTAACAAGGGGAATCATGTGATCCCAGGACACTACGGCCATCATAACTGCGAGTCAGTTGTGCCAAGTGTCCAAATTTGGGAATTTGGACACTTGGCACAACTGACTCGCAGTTATGATGGCCGTAG